GGAATACGTGGAAAGTCACCACTCCCGAATGAGTTCGCGCAAGAGAACGTAATCTTTTAGTTTTAAGTTGGTTTGAACAATCCAGATTAGCGCAAGTAAGTACCATTTTGATTAGCCGTCGTACCTACAATGTTTGTGCACTGTGTAAACAATGAGTGACGTATAGGCGCGAGAGATCACTTCCGGCACTTGCGTAAACTACGCCAGAGTGCGTACACACCTCACGCACCGGATGCCGTGCGCGTGCCAAAAGACAGTTGGACGTAGTGGTGTATTAGAGGTAAAAAATTATATAAATACTGTTCGGTTTCTGGCACAAACCGATCGTTTCATGTCTTAGGACATCAATGTGTCGTCACGAGCCGCAGGGTTTAATTTGGATTTGTCTGTGCATGTTTTTTTTACTCTCATAGATTTTGTTACCATTGCCATGCATTATACGACTGATAGACTGCAACGGTTAAAGTTAAAAATCATCATATGTGTTCTACTGAAGAAACAAAGTCACCTACATCTTGGATGCCCTGGGGGTAAGCAGATAAACATCAAATTTTCATTTTTGGGTGAACTATCCCTTTAATGCTGCCTTGAAATTTAAGCTTGGTCAACTTGAAATATGAAGTTAGTGAAAACTTGGAGCTGACTAAACCTAAAATTTTAAGGCACGAACACTAACTCTTTTTTTATACTCTGCGGCTGCGCTAATGGGCTGGAGAGTGAAGTTGTCATTATATTTCAGAAGAGGTCATGGTTACATGGTTTCTTTTAACGGTACAAACCAAGCACAAATGAACGGCACCAGTTTGGAGGGATTTGGACGGCGTGGGGTGGAGAGTGACGTCACAGCACAAACGTTCGTTTTTGTGGCACAAACAAATGGCATAGTTGTGGTGATTATTTATTTTTATGGGGAGCCAATTTCACGGAGGTGTGTTGCATAAACTTTTCTGCTGAGCAATAGCAGTGATAATATTCAATAGACTTTCAAACCCAAGATTTTAAATTGTGTATCTATACAGAAAGAGGTATTTAAAGGTGTGACAACTAGCCCCAGTGTATATATTGTAGACACTAGCAATGCACTGAACTCAGTTGAGGAGCTTTATAACAGTTTCTGAATATGAAATTACAAATTATTGTTCTGGCAGTATTGTACTGTTGTCTATGACGTGCTGACAATCAAAAGTTAGGCCAGGGAAAGACGTCGGACGGTTACAATCTCATCTAGTAAGAAAATGACGGTTACAGTGTTACTGTTATTTTCTTTGAAAAATGAAGCAGTATTGTCTTCTTATGTTTCATGTTGACTTTAAAGCTGAAAATTGAGCCACTGTGCATTTGTTGTAGGTGTTGCTATGGTGATGTCAGTCAGAATGGCTCCTCCTCTTCCTCTGATCTTTCTGCTCGTGATTCACAGTGAGTCTCTGCAACAGAAACACTTTTTTTTGCACACTTCATTTTTATGCACAAGCTACTGATAATTTATTCAGTGTTATTTTTATTTAGGGGCTTATAGTCAGAAGGAGCATGTGAATTACATCCAGCCACACATCTGTGCACTAAAGGACTCATCAGTGTTAATGAGCTGCACTTATACATACCCTACTGGACTTCAGATCATGAAAGTGTTCTGGACCAAAACAAATGTTAAAAATGCTAAAAATGAGTTTCCAGATCTGTCTAAGGACCCTGAATACAGTCAGAGGCTTCGGTATTTGGGAGATAAACAGCAGAACTGCACCATCAGACTGAGTCATGTGACACAGAAGGATTCACACAAGTACTATTTCAGATTCACAACTGATAAAGATAATGTGAAATGGCTTGGCAAACAAGGATTGACTCTTACTGTGACAGGTGACTTTTTTAATGAGGTTTCACTCTTCTTCTGAGCATTATGTTGAATAATAATCAGTGTATGACAGCAGCACTAGATATAATGTGTGTGTTGTGTTCAGATCTTCAGGTGGAGGCTCCTGAGAGAGTGACAGAGGGTCATAATGTCAGTCTGACATGTAAAAGCAGCTGCACTCTGACTGACAGAGCAACATTCATCTGGTACAGAAACTCACAGCCATTAACTGAGAGAAGAGACAGAAACAATCAACTCCTGCTGCTGTCAGTCAGAAGAGAGGATGCAGGCAGATACAGCTGTGCTCTACATGAACACACTTACATCTCTCCTGCTGCTCATCTCAGTGTCATGTGTGAGTATATATTCATTAGTACTTTTTAATAACTTGTCGAGCAGTGTTCGAACTATACCATGGTCTTTGGGGGAGCCCACTTGTTTTTTTTTTTTTATATAACGGGGGGTGTGTTCGTGCGTGCCTCAAAAGAGGGCTTACAATGACTTACACTTGTAATTTAGCTGTTATGCATCATTGTATGCACTACTTGCTTTATGCAAGCACTATATACGATAAATCACTATACAGGATTTACCCTATTATACTTTATCGACACGAATTGAGAGATGAAACAACAAACAGCCACCCACAAATAGTCAAACAAGGCATCAGGCTGTCTTTGAGTTCACATGAACAACGGTTAAAGTTACTCGTCTCTAGGCTACAGAAGAATACCATAATTCCTCCGTTCAGTTAGACCCAAGACATCGAGAGTCACACAGACCTATAACAACCCAGCCACAACACATAATTGCGAATAACCTGCCTTACCTTAACACAGAATCGACCACAGAGTCCAATGGTTATATTTTTTCTACGAATCTTTGAGTTAACATGTACTAAACATGAGTGGAATTTGCACCGCAGCGCCCCCACACCTTGATGCTCATGACAAGAATAGCATGTATAGTTATCTTTATTGAAGTTAATTAGGTTTAAATTGCCGTCATGCTTGAATGAATTTTATTTTTGCAATTTTACGCATAATAATCCACGATGATCACATTACACAAAACTGAAATTGCACGTCAAAATAACACATTGTCAATATTTTTTGAGACCCCCCAAAATTTCACAAATCACGTTTTCAGGGGAGCCCATGTCTTATTAAGGGGAGCCGAGCTCCCCCTAGCTCCCCCGTAGTTCGCACCCTGTTGTCGAGTTTATGTTTGGAGATACACTTTTCATTTTTGTCCTCTTTAGACCCACCAAAGAACATCTCAGTGTCCATCAGTCCATCTGGTGAAATAGTGGAGGGAGATTCAGTGACTCTGAGCTGCAGCAGTGATTCAAACCCACCTGCAGAAAACAGCTGGTTTAAAGGAGGAATGTTTGTAGGATCTGGAAGAATCTACAGCATCTCAAATATTAGCTCTGATCACAGTGAAGAATACAAGTGCAAGTCCACCAATGAACACGGAGAGAAATACTCTGATGTTGTGACTTTAAACATCATGTGTGAGTTTATCATAAAACACAATATGCCAATTTTCTATTTTCTGTTTTTATAATCTCAGTTCACATTAGCAATTTAAAAATGTGTTAGAGGTCTTAAATAATTAATATAGTGATTGTTTTTAGACCCTCCAAAGAACATCTCAGTGTCCATCATTCAGTCTGGTCAGTTCTGGGAGGGAGATTCAGTGACTCTGAGCTGCAGCAGTGATTCAAACCCACCTGCAGAAATCAGCTGGTTTAAGGAGAATCAAAGCTCAGCTGTTGGATCTGGACAGAGTTTCAATGCACTACAGAGTGGACGCTTCTACTGTGAGGCTAACAATCAACACGGATCTCAGAGATCAGATGCTGTTACTGTCACTGTTAAAGGTAAGAGCAGCTTATTTACTCTTTCTAAAGTGAAGCAAGTGAATCTGTTCAGGTGTTTTACACTCTTGTCTCTGTTGTAGGACATCTGGTGATATTACACATATCTATGGTTTGTGGAGCTTGTGGAGCTGCAGTTTTCATCGTCACGATGCTGATTGTGTACGATATGTGTGTGTGGTACTATGCAATGTCTGTAAATGAGTGAGAAGGTTGTGAATTCAGTGAGACTTCATGATGGTCTCTTTCCACACTAATAGCTACTCACTCAGGTATTGAATAAGGAAGTCTGAAGCTCAGATCATTGCTGGGGTAAACAATCTGGTTACTAAACACAACCTTGGTTCCCAAAGATAATTGGAACGAGCACTGTGTTTACCACGCTATGCGGAACCTCAGTTTTCTATGAATATTGAAGCCTGATTTATTAATGTTCATATAGCTGCACGAATGGCATTTCAGCCCACCAAAACAGGGGGGCTGACTGCCTATATAAGTTGGCGCTGAGTGCCATTTCATCAGAATCTTTTGACTGATAAGTGGCAGCATCGACTTGTAGCAGCTTGAAGCATGGCTGGGTACGCAATGCTAGTTCCTGTTATCTCAGGGAACCAAGGTTGCATTAGTAACTAACATTTCCTTTCGATGCGGTTCACTCAAATTGTGTTTACCACGTTATGGGGAACAATATCCAATAGCGTCGTCAGGGCATGAGGATGGAGTTCTCAGACAAAAATAGTCCTGACACCGACATGGAGCGGAACCAGCTTGACCAGTTGCAGAGTACGCTATATAGGAGCGAAGTGGCTCTGCAGGGCTAAGAAAGGTGGACAGCCTTGGCCTGCCATCCCACGGCTATGGGTGGGCAAAGATGCACACAACTGCCTCTTCTATTCGGCGCTGTCAACAGAGGTGAGGGCAGCCAAGACTGAAAAGTAGACACAGAACAAGAAGGGAACACTCCACAAACTAGTAAGTTCATTGTGAAGAACAGAGCAAGTCTCTGAGGGGGGCTCGCTGGCAGCGCCCTGGACCAAGCGGCAACCTTCTGGTCTCTCTATTGAATCCAATACTTAAGTGACTTAAACTGCAATTCATCAACAGGCCGTTAGAGACTGGCTCCAAAAGGGAGTCAATCCCATAGACCATTTTCGGTTATCCGGGAGTGATGCGCAGTGGCACACTGCCAAAATGGCAACGGCCAGCTCCACTCACTTTGGGCTTCAAAAATTATCTTCAAAAACCTCCGGGTGACGTCACAGACACTACATCCATGTTTTATACAGTCTATGCCATGGATGTAGAATCCATTCGTCGAGGGGCAGGCTCATCCAGAACAAACCACTCCAAGCCGAGCCACTCAACAGCCTTGGTGAGGACACATACGAGTTCGGTATCCAGACCGGGTGTGCTGTCATCTGGCTCACTATACGACAGGGGGGCGGAGTTCTTAGTGGAATTCACTCAATCCTCCACATTAGAAGCTGCCAATGACAGCGTATCATCGGTACAATCCTCTGTGGAAACCCCAAAAAGGGACCACCTGATGAGGGGCGCTGGTCCGTGAGCTGATTAGGACCCATCTTCTCTGCCACATAACTCCAATGTTTTTTCCTCCGAGGTTCCTGAGTGGAAGAAAACACAAGGGGGAACACAAGGAGCAGGGTTGCTTTCTTTAACGAAAGCGATCCGCGAGTGCAGCAATGTGAGACTCATGTTCTCTCAATGACAGTAGCTCATCTCAGTGGGCGCAGTCTCTGCCTGGGCTTGCCAAGTAGGCGGCATAGTCAGAGTGCTCATCCAAGGTGTGCAGGAATGCCCTGTGTGTGCCACATTTGCAAACGGCGCTAGAAATATGCTACACAAATATTAACAAATCAGGCTCCATTATTCGGAGAAAACAGATTTTCCCCATAGCATGGTAGATGCAATGCGAGTAAACTGTACCAAAATGGAACCGTGTAGATGCACCAGATTTCATCACATTCAAAACGGCCCATCCTATAAAGAAATGTCATTGGTTCAAAATCATAGCTTCAGACAAGTCCTGATTGGCTGTAATTGTGTTGGTCTTTGCAGATGGATTAAAAACAGAAATGGTGCACACAATGCTCAGGTGAGAAAAAAATATTTTGCTATCAGTAGTTTACTGATCAGGTAAATTAACTGGTCACTCAAGGATTGAAAGTCTGAATGTAGTTGACTTTTTATCTATTGAGTTGTTTATAGACATTACTTATTTTCTCTCTATTCTTTGTTTTTGTTTTTGTTTTTTTAATGGCAAAGATGAATCATAATGGCCAACACAAAGCTTGCGATGTTGAAATGACTGATCCTGTGTATGAGAATGTAACTGTAAGTATTTTTGCTACAGATTTCCTATAAAACACTAAACTCTCCTCACCTTTGGCCAAAAACGCTCTTCAATGTCAGTGTAAAAATGTCAAATGTCTAACCAATAATTATATGAAAATTTAAATAACACAGTGCTGAATATACTTTGTCTCTTCATTCATAAAGGTTGCTCAACACGGCTCTAATACCTGTAAACCTGAACTGAACTCTTCTGTGTATGAAAACATTCCAGTAAGTAAGAGCACCTACTACATAGAGACAAAACACAATCTAGTAGCCTTTCCTAATGACTGATGTTTTCATTATTTAAATATTTCATTATGATTTTTTCCACTTTCTTTCTTTCTTTCTTTTTAAGAAGAAGAAGAAGATGATGTAGTGTTTTGGACTCTGAGAAACATTTTACAGCTTTTACAAATCACTTTGTGGGTGTAGACCTGAATGATTGACAGGAGTGTCATGATATGGCTGAAGTAATTTGCAGATCATATGGGTTAAAATAGCAGTTAAAGGTTAATTAATTGCAAAAGTGTGTAATCACTTAACCCTCTGGTATTGTTCATTTGGGAGTCACACTTGTGTTGTTCGCGGTCAAAAGTAAACGGACACCTGAAACGTAACTTTTTTTAAATTTTCAGTAAAATCAATGTAATATATTTTTGTTCAATAATATTTTTTATTTTGAGATAATTTTGATTGTACTGGCAGTATTTCATGTTAAAATAGAGATAATGCCTTTAAAATCCAATTTTTGAAGTCAGATTAGTACCATCTGGTCGGAGTAAAATAAGAAAAGCCTCTGCAATTCCATGGTTTAGCCACTAGATTTCCTATTTGTTTTTAGACATAGTTTTTTTTTTTTTTTTAAGTTGTGGATCTGGAAATACATTTAAACATTCTCAAACAACTTTTTGTAAAGGTTTAGATTTTTTGGTTTGAAGGTTTGAAATATCAGTTTTGTATTAATTTTACTACAGTCAAACCTGAACACAGAGAAAGACATTTTATTACGCATAACATCAAAGTTTAAAAAAATCAAGGATGCTTTGTCATAGATTACTCAATCTGATTTCAACCTCTTATTTGAGTGTTCTGGTTTAATTTTGCCATACTGTTACAGCCACACAAGTTCATTTGTGTGTGTGTGTGTGTGTGTGTTTTATACACACAACATCAAAGTAAAAAAAAATGAACAGGAATGCTTTATCAGAGATTATTGAATCTGATTTTGTGTCTGTTTTGCACTCTTGATATTTTAGAGTGTCACCCTTTCATTGCTGTGCACATTTTTTTCTGCATGATGAATGATTTGTATTTTTGTATACACAATTTGTATATTTGTATATTGTATACACAAAAAAAAAATCTTTGTATTTTTGCATATTTCCCATTAATTTCCAATGGCGGTCATTTTTGACCTTGAACAACACAAGTGTGACTATTTTTTTTCCGACCATTTAGCTTTTTCGAATCAAGTCCATGATTTTTTTTTTTTTGTTAGTCATCGAGTTTCATACCATTCCGATGAAGTAGTGATTTTCAGAATTTCGGAAAAAAAAAAAATTCCAGTCTAAAATGACCAAACAACGCCAGAGGGTTAAGTACGTTTTCCTGTATGCTTTATATCATGTTTAAAGCCTATTTCATTTAAATTTTTAATTTTTTTAATCTAAAGTATCAGTGTATTGTTCATGTTTTGCATTAAAGGCTGGCTGTAGCTGCTCAGTTGTACACTTTTCTGTCATTCAGTTCATCTGAACAGTACAACAAATATTAAAGGGGTCATATGATGCTATTTTAGAGATCATTATTTTGTGTATTTGGTGTAACAGAATATGTTGACATGCTTTAATGTTAAAAAAAAAACATTTTTCAAATACTGTACATTATTGTAGGTCCTCTATGCCCCGCCTCTCTCAAACACGTCGTTTTCAACAAAGCCCCTTCCTTTGACAAGCGCAGTCTGCTCTGATTGGCCAGCTGACCCAGTGCATTGTGATTGGCCGAACACCACAAGCATGCGTCAGAAATGTAACGCCCCTTTCCATAATCGCAAGCTTCAGCTTTCAACATAAATGTAAAGACAGTACATAATGTCCTTAGTTTTGCCATCAGTTCAAGCCCGAAAGGGGAACAGAGTCACGTGACGGACACAGTGATGATGCTCGTATGTATTTGCAGTACGCAAGCCATGATTAAAAAGTTGACTCCACTGTGATGTGACCCTGTCTCTCTCTCACGCACACACACACACACACACACACAGGACGTGATATTCTACACGGTGCAAAACTCCGCATTTGAACAGTCAATAGCAAATACTTA